TCCCCCACTTATTGTGGAAGTTACGTTCCACACCCGTCAGAGATAGGTGAAAATCCGCGATATAGAAAGACCATATAAACATTTTTTTATAGTTTAAGCCTTAAAACACCCCTCCCACACACTTTAAACACATGTGATATGTGGATGTCGGACTAAGGATATGAGTAACATAAAACTAATAATAATAATAAAATAATAATAATAATAATATGTAATGTATACGTATGTGATTCCACTTTAACGACGGCTTTATTCTGAGGTCATGCCACCCTCTTTCCTGATTGACTAAAGGAAAGTGATGCAGTGGCTCTTATATTCTTTTCATCCTTCTTGATGTATCGTACCGTCGATTCACTCGAGCCATAATGGTGAGCGACGTCTGCGTAATGCTTTCCTTCCTGAAGCATATCCAGTTTTACCTTCTCCTGAATGGTCAAGGTCTTCCTCTGGCACTTAGGCTCACTACTACCAGAAGGCTTAGAAGATGCAGGACGCTTGGGAGCCATCATAGGGCTAAAAAAAACCGAAAACAATCGGACCACAAGCAATATACGCGATACGCAGGGAACTGTCACGGGTCAGGGAAAAATCCACGATATAGCAGGGGCGCGATAGCTGAACCACTGTATAGCAGGGGATCACTGTAATGTTGAAATATAGCTTTGTTTGTTTAGAATACATCACTATTACAGACACTCGACAATGGCATATTATTTGCAAATAATAATACATTTTCGAAAAAGTTGTGCCAGTGTGCCGAGGCACAGTGGTTGAAAATCACTGCCTTAGTCTTACTAAACTTTGTAGATTTAGATTATGAATATATCTACAGCAAGCTGGTTGCTCGATGCATCTTTCAGCTGTATATTGAGGGAAAACACCCTGGATGAAATGCCAGCCATTGCAGGGCACATGTACTGTATACAGCCACATCACATGGGGCCAAAATGCAAACTGCACAGAGGGCCAAGGCAGGATTCAAACCCCCCTCTGTGAAGATGTGAGGCAACACTGCTACCCAGCAGAGCTGTAGTCAAGACCGAGTCCAACTGAGAGAGACCGTCAAGACTAGGGCTGGAGGGAGAATCCTCTTCAAGATCGCTTACCTGTTTATAATTTTTGTGTGATGCTAGAGCCACGGTATATCTTCCATTTTAAGATCACATTGCACTATTTAGAAACAAAAAGCAAGTGCAATGAAACATCACTGTAGGATCAAACTAGGCCACATCTACTTTCAGTATAGTCATTTCACTTGATATTACACTTGACACTCTCCAAAGACAAAACAGCATGTTACCCCCACCAATAGGGGGTTGTACCAACGAGAGTTATGAAATTTATAAAAATTTTCTGTTAAATGTTTGTATGATTTCAATTATAAAGCCATGCTACAAAGTATATTAACCTTTCTGCATTTGCTCATCCTCACTGGATCCCATTGTGTAAAATCTATCTTTATCCGTTATGCACTGGAATTCACTATTGCGCAAGATTCATAAGGAAACCTAAAGAAAGAATGTTGAATGCTATGTTTACAATTGCTGCAGCATCTCAGTAATAACTGGAATACAACATACAACATATTTTCTGGCTCTTCAAACATTTGTACTACAGAGCAGTAAATTTACAAAAAACATGCTATCAGGGGATTACCGGTAGCAAATTTGTGCAGAATGACATGAACTGACTGTGTCCCTAATCTGCATACTGTACATGCCATTCAGTGTCCTTTTTGTTGTACAGAAGTCCATTGTTGCGCTTGAGAAATATGAGAGGGGAGCATTTCTGATCCTGGATTTGCTCTATGGACCCCATATGAAATTCCTCCAGCAGTAAAAACTCTTTGAACTGCTGCTGAAGATGCAGGGACAGGCAGCATGTACACAGCAACATGCAAATGTTCAGAACAGAAGCATGCAAATGTGGATTCAAAAAATAAATAAATAAAGTCAGCAGTCAAGACCAATTAGAATATTTGGAGGAACCAAAGGCCAAGACTGAGACAAATCCAAGTGCTGTACCAATGAGACGAGTCCTAAGACTGAACTGGAGTATTACAGCCCTGTTACCCACTGAGCCATCACGCTGGCCACAGTATTACATCAAAATGACCATAAATGCTGAAAGATTTTTACCCTTCTAATTGCTCATTCGGAGACTTTGGATAAAACTCAGAGAGGATGTTGCACTTGTACAGCTGCCTCGTGATACTTGACTAGCAGGTGGTTTGAGTCTTTCCTTCCTCTGATTGCCCTTTAC